AGGACACACACCAGTGCCAGTACATGCTGCACCACACCATGGCCTCCTGAGGCCCAGGAACTTCCTGCTAAAACCCCTGAGATGTTCCCTCCCTCATGCCACTGCCAGCACAGCCCCACCTATCTCCTTGCTGTGCTGAAACAGATAAACCACCCGGGCGTCGTGTTCCTATAAAGCCAACACGCTCAGCAGCAACTGTACCTGCTCCCAGTGCCCAGGGCTCAGGATGAACATGCCTGTGCTGATGATTCCAACAGCCAAGAGCATGAAATCTTCCTTCACTGTCAAAAACTTGGCTCTGCAGAAGGAGAAGTGTGTTCAGGTGTAAAATGCTGCTTCACAGCTCAAAAGCACCCACTGCTGCACTTGCCACGGCCCAGGACACAACCAAGGCCTGACACTGGGAGCTGGAACTGATAGTGCCTGGCTAGACTTTCATGACCAAGTAAAACACTCTCCTTGCCCCTGAAGCAGCTGTGGAGAAGCATGCTGCTGTGAACTGCTGTATTAAGAAACAGTGCTGAAAGCCCCCCCAAAATTAATTTTTTTAAAAAAGATGCCCCAAAAATGGCATAATGGGAATTATGCTACTATTCATTAGCTTTTCTTAGGGTTTTAATTTCAAAGGGTTTTTAATTCATGGTCAGGTAAGAGTCTTACACCTGCAGCTTGCTGGGTGTGGAGTTTTCGATGGCAATCTTCAGCAAAGTGTCGTAGATGGTCTCTCTGGACAGGTAGCAGAAGTCCAGCAGCTGCACACACATGTGGTGCAAGGGTTTGGCAGGAAGCAAGCACCCATTGTGTCCTGGCAGAGATTATACCATCAGCCCAACATTTTGGGTCAATAAATTGAATTAGAAGTGTTAGGTACTGTAAGGGAGGGATGGAGGTTTCTGAGGAAAAGTGCCCTGTCTCTGAATGCCACATGCTCCCTCAGCCTCAGTATAATTTCACTCACTCTCACATTCAGGTTGTCACACCTGGGCCAAGAAAATGGTGAGTGTAGAAAATGCAGCCTTACACCAGGTTTGGGGGGTTTAAACTGGCTGTCCAGCAACATTCATCATGCTGTACAAAGTTCTCACCTGAAAAGTGAAGCCCTGGACAATCTGAACAGTTCCATGTGCAAAAATCTCTAATATGAGATGTTTCGGTTCAGATCAGCACCAGCTCTATTACCCTTTTAAAAAACTTCCTTCCCATTCTCTTTGATTGATATTCTCACCTAGAACCTCCAGAAGCAATTCCACGTAGGCCAACGGAGTGGACACGTTGATGTGGAAGTGCAGAGTGTTTAAAACAGCAAGCTCTGACTCCAGCAACTCTTGTTTAGTGTAAGGGTATTTTAAGGATTGCAGAAATTTTAAAGCTGTGTCACTGGTCACTCTCTGAAGAGGAAAAAAAGAGAAAAGACATCTTCCAGGCAATAAGGCTCTTGGTAGGAACAAAGTGCTCCCTCACCTCCCTCCTCCCGCTGAGCACGAGGCTGCAACTCACCTGCCTGCCCTTTGAGCTGGCATGAGAAACCCAGCTCGGACCTTTCCCAGAGTTTTCCTCAACTCCATAAACCATCCCCCAGGTAGGTGTGAACCCCTGTGGCCACACAATTTTTGCCAACCACAGGCTAAGTGTCTCCTACCCTTTCTTCCCCAGCACTGGGAGAACATTTCCCCGCAAATCGTCACGGGACTAGTGGCAATTTGGCTGCCCTGAAGGGAATGTCATGTCTTTTGCATTTCATTATCACTATTCCCTTTCAGAGAGGAAATCTATTTTTAAGAGAGGTGAACACGCTGCAGATTGAACCCCACTGCTAAAGCAAGGACAGGCCGAGCTGGCTTACACTATAGTGCAGGGAGAGTTTGCTCGCGAGCTGAATGCACGACACGAGTCGCAGGACAAAGGTGTTGACTATCTGATCCCTCACAGAGCTCCAGCTGCTCCCTTGTCCTTGGGCACCACCTTTAACGCTCCCACTGGAGGACTCCCACAGCTGTTCTACCTGCTTGATCATAAACCTGCAAAACTCACAGTTGCTCAGAGCACAGTTCTCTTTGCTGAGGAAGGAAGAAAAGCAATTCTACATATATTCAGAGTATACACAGAGCTGGTAATTTGGATTAAATGGATGAAGAGACAGAGCACTCAACACACAGAGAAGTCGTGTGTGGTTTGGGTGAGGGGACAGAGCAGGACAGGGCAGGACAGAGCATGGGCAGCGCAGCCAGAGAACAGGAAACAAACTAAGTGTTCCGGGCTCTTGTTACCTTTCGAGTAACTCCACTGCTTGGTACCTCGTCGATTGGTCCAAGCGCCATTTTTCAGATAAAAGGAATATAAATTCTGCAAAGAGCACAGCAGTCACTGGTTCAGTCTCCTGAAGCTCACTGTACAGCTGTGACCTGCCCCGGGGGCTGCTGTAGCCAAGTCAGTCTCACCCACGATCCGCGTGTCCTTGAAGCTCCCGGCGTGCTCCGGCAGCTCGCTCAGATACTGCTCATTCTCTGTGGCCAAGTGGATCAGCGTGTCCTCGATGATTTCAGGAGTGACCCCGCTGAACACGGGGCCTGGGTCACGGCCCCAGGGTTCCACGGGCACCGGGGACCCCATTTAATTTAGCAGGTTGGGGTCGAAGCCATAATGACGACAATGGTTCCACCAGCCCCACAGGGACAGGGCAGGGCCCCACCAGCCCCTCCGGGCGCCCGAAGACACCACTGGGAGGGCACGGCCCCTCGGTGAGGCTGCGTTCGGGCAGGGGCAGGGGCAGGGGCAGGTTCAGGCGATGGGCCCGGTTGCTGCAGGCTCAGCCTGCAGCGCCCTCCGGG